TGTTTCTCTCTCATATCGATGTGATTTTTTTTCTCTCTCTCTCTAAAATCAATAATCAGCCCAGTTGGTGTGACTCAGTGGTTGAGTGTAGACCTATGAACCAGAAGGTCATGGTTCCATTCCTGGTCAGGACACATGCGTGGGCTGCAAGCTTAATCCCCAGTGTGCAGCATGCAGGAGGCAGCCGATCAATGATTCTCACATCATTGATGTATCTCTCTCTCTCTCTCTCTCTCTCTCTCTCTCTCTCTCTCTCTCCTCTTCCTCTCTGAAATCAATAAAAATGTATTTTAAAGTTAATAAGTATGTCCTTGGGCGAGAATGAAAAAGAATCATATTGTTCCAAAAGACAAGAAAGCGCTTACTCAGACCAATGGGGAGTTGTCACAAGGACATAGGAGCCAGTTTTAAGGGGTTCCCACTGGCAAATTTGAGACAATTTGTATATAAAAAAAGGATAATGATTAAAAGTGCTTATAATATCATGAATAAATAAGAATTCCTTAATTCACAATAATAGCTCAAAGAAAAAAAGAAAGAAAAAAAAAGCCTGTCATCTGCTACAATTGGGGGTGACTATTACATCAACTTCTTACTCTGAAGATTGATAATTAAAGAGAAATAATGAAGCAATTTAACTTGGTCTTTTTAGACGGCTTCTCCTCAGTAATAGAGAGGGAAAGCTCTCCTTTACAGAAGAATGCCAAGGAGTAAATGTAGAAGTAAAGAAAAAAATTTAAAAGCCACCATTTTGCAACCTCCAATGAAATAAAGGACTCAGGCAAGGATGTTCAAAAGATGTTAAAAATCATTTGGTTAAACTGTTGAGAAACAGAAAATTCCCACAGTGTCAGAGAATGAGGAGAGAAGGGAGAGATCAGAGAAAACAGAGAATCAGAGAAGTGAGAAATTATTCCATAGATTACCTACTAATTGCAAAAGGAAAATTAGTACCTTTACAATGGAGTTATCTGACAGTTACCAGCTTAACCTAATGATCAAACTCAGCTTCCTGATATGATGTAACCTGAAAGAGTAACGCATCATCTATGATATATTATTACCAAAAATACCTAACTTAGAGGTAAATAAGTCTTAAAACCCAATATTTCCTTAACAGGAAATTCAGGAGATAGAGTAACAAGAAAAATTTCATACAGAAATTTTTACAAGAAAAAGTAATTGATTACATGAAGACATGTCAGATCTATAATTTGAAACACACTACAACAAAATTGATCTGGTCTCTTCAAAACCCAAAATCTTGGGTGTGATAATGTTATTTGTGATTATGTACAGAATGCCCTTATTCTTAGCAATGCATGCTGAAGCATTTACGGATAGTATCATAATGTCTGCAACTTATTTTCAAAGTATTCAGCAAAGACAGGTAGGTAGATAGGTAAATTATGCAAATATAACAAAATATCATCACTGCATGTTTGAAATTTTCATATTAAAAAGTTGGAGCCCGCCCTAACGGGTTTGGCTCAGTGGATAGAGCGTCAGCCTGCGGACTCAAGGGTCCAAGGTTCGATTCCGGTCAAGGGCATGTACCTTGGTTGCAGGCACATCCCCAGTGGGGAGTGTGCAGGAGACAGCTGATCGATGTTTCTCTCTCACCGATGTTTCTAACTCTCTATCCCTCTCCCTTCCTCTCTGTAAAAAATCAATAAAATAAAATTAAATTAAAAAAAAAAAAAGTTGGAGCCCTAGCCGGCTTGGCTCAGTGGATAGAGTGTCGGCCTGCGGACTGAAGGGTCGCAGGTTTGATTCTGGTCAAGGGCATATACCTAGGTTGCGGGCTCAATCCCCAGTGGGGGGCATGCAGGAGGCAGCCAAACGGAGGTTCTTTCTCATCATTGATGTTTCTGTCTCTCTCCCTCTCCCTTCCTCTCTGAAATCAATTAAAATATATTTTTTTAAAAATGGGGATTCCGGCCAGCATGGCTCAGAGGTTGAGCGTCAACCTACAAACCAGGAGGTCACGGTTCGATTCTCAGTCAGGGACACATGCCTGGGTGGCAGGCTCCATTCCCAGTAGGAAGGCATGCAGGAGGCAGCCAATCAATGGGTCGCTCTTGATGTTCCTATCTCTCTCTCTCTCCCCCTTCCTCTCTCTCTAAAAAATCAATAAAACGGAGGAACCAAGATGGCAGCATAGGTACACACTGTACTTGCTGCCTTGCACAACCACATCAAAACTACAACTAAAAGACAAAACGGGTATCATCCAGAACCATGGGAAGGCTGGCTGAGTGGAAATTCTACAATTAGAAGGAAAGAGAAAAGCGCACTGAGTCCGGTAGGAGGTTCAGAGGTGCGGAAGTGCGGAGGTATGGAGGCGCCCATGGAAACGGGCTGGCAACTTGGTACGCTGTTGTCTTTTTCAATCGGGAGAAAGATACAAGCTCCCAATTGCTCTGAACTCCAGTTCCGGGCGAGACTCTGGGGACCCAGACTCATACGGGGAGAAACTGGACTGTCTGGCATTGGGACAGGAACGCGAGGGCGGCTTTCTCGCAGAGGTGCTTGCAGCGACCATTGTTCCTGCACAGGGCCGCGGGAAACAGAGACCCTGGGACCTCTTCGAGGCAGAGCAGGCTGGCAGCCATTGCAGTTTGCTCTGCCCTGATGATTCCCTGAGACTCCGCCCCACCCAATTTACAACCCCACCCAAGCTGTGAGCAGAGGCTTTTGCATATGAATGACCTGTTCTTTTGCAATCTAAAACCTAACAAACTGCAGCTGGGTCAAAGAGCACCAAAGCTTCCAAAGGAAGGCCTAGACAGCAGCCTGCATTGCTTCACAGCTGGGCCTCTTCTAGGCACTTCCAAACCCCAAACAAAGAGGAGGAATCTGCAGATCTCTCTGTAGCTCCGCTGGGTGGCCTCAGGCAGTGGCTGACTTTGCACCTCCTTAGAGATCCAAGATCCAGTGTACCCAGTGGTCAGAGTGAGACCATACCAGAGTACAACTCTTCACATCCATAAGCGACACACTCAAGGGGCAGACTCAGTGAGCACGCCCCACTGAAGCAGTCCTGCTCCATAAGGGTGTCTCCAGCACAACAGTTCTCCCATTGTAGACACAGCTGGTCCTCACAGCAAATTGGCCTGGTAGTCAATTCCTCCCAGTGATGCCAACAGCAATCAAGACTTAACTACAACAAGACTGTGCACACAGCCCACAAAGGGGTGCACCAAGAGTGTCAACCTCAGGTAATTAGGGAGGCTGAGCCACTGGGCCCTATAGGACACCTAGCACACAAAGCCATTCTATCAACACAGGGAAGCAGCCAAAATGCGAAGACAAAGAAACAGATCACAAATGACAGAAATGGAGGAAAGCAAACTACTGGATATAGAGTTCAAAACTACTGGATATAAGGTTACTCAAAAATCTTCTAGAAATCTCCGAGAAATTTAGTGAGACCCTCAAGGATATGAAAAAGGACCAATTAGAAATTAAGCATACACTTACTGAAATAAAGAATAATATACAGAGATCCAACAGCAGACTAGAGGACCCCAGGAATCAAGTCAAAGATTTGAAATGCGAAGAAGCAAAAAACACCCAACCAGAAAAGCGAAAAAGAAAAAAGAATCCAAAAATATGAAGATAGT